AAAAAAAAAAAAAAACAAAAACTTTTCATAGAATTTTTTTAAACCCAGAAATATATGTATGAAATAAGTAAAGCAACATAGAAAACTCTATGTGAATGGGTAATACCTGTTTTACATATTATATATATAAAACCAAATACATAGAGAAAAAATACTGGAAGGAAATGAGCCAGCATGTTAATGATTATTATATCTATGAGGTGGGATTATGTATGATTGCTTGTTTTTTATAATTTCTGTATTTCCCATGTTTTCTATAATGAGTATATGTTACTCTAATTAGAAAAATTGTTTAAGGGGCATGTGTGTGGCTTAGTTGCTTAACCATCCAGCTCTTGGTTTCAGCTCAGGTCATGATCTCTCATTTCATGATTTTTGAGCCCCACTTTGGGTTCTGCACTGTCAGTGCAGAATCCCCTGCTTGGGATTCTCTCTCTCTCTCTCTCTCTCTCTCTCTCTCTCTGCCCCTCCCCTGCTTGTGTTCTCTGTCTCTCAAAATAATAAACATTTTTTAAAAAAGAAAAGAAAATTAATTATTTAACACAAATTATAGTCTAGAAAATTAAAACTCTTCAAGAATCCAAAGATACCCGGTGTTTCATCTTAAGGAAATATGTGTAGAAATGATATCCTTGCTCAGTTTTCAGGAAATATCTGGAAGCCTTCATTGTCACCCAGAACAACACGTTTTTTCTCATTCCCTAGGACTCTGGAAAGGAAACAGTACTTTTTTTTTCTTTTCTTTCTTTTTTTTTTTTTTTCCTTTTTTTACATTTAGCCTGAAATTGCACATGTTTGGTTGTCCCAGAGTAAGTACCGTATTATTTTTCATTTTTAGTTCTGGGCTTGATTCTTTCTTTTCTTCTTTTTCCCCATCCCCATTTTAGTAGCTTCACATACAGATACTTTTAGTTTGTGATTTTGAAATCTAAACAGTTGTTATTCCTAAGATTAGGGTTTATATAATATGAATGATGCCTGAACTGATTCCCAGAAATTACTTTTTCTCCCCTTCATTTTCCCTTTCAGTTGGGGTGAAGTAACACCCGATTTAAGATGTTACCTAATAAAGCTAAATCTAATTTGAATCCTAGTTATGACAGTTGTTACCTTTCAGCTTTGAATGTGAAATTTAACTTCTCTAGATTCTAATAGCCTCTTTTGTAAAAATGAAATAATAACAGTTGTTATCAGGATCTTAGGAGACAACTATGTGTAAAGTACCTTTCACAGCTCCTTGCACGTAGTGTTTAATTTTTAATAATTATCATTGTTACATTTTTATCTCTTTTCCTCCTAGGACTGCTTTTCTTAGACTGTTTAAGACTATTGCATTTGTTAGTGTTGTATAAATACTTTTTTCCCCTCATTTTTCCCAATAGGTAAAAAAGGAAATAGAGGTGAAAGGTGTATGGAGCATGCCATCAAAATACAGTGAAAAAGGAGTTTATGACATTCAGTACAGTTTCATTAAAGAAGCTGAACACCACTGCTTGTTACATAGCCCTATTCCTGTGAACTGCCCTATAAGATTGCTCCACGGCATGAAAGATGACATCGTACCTTGGCATACATCCATACAGGTTGCCGACCGAGTAGTCAGCAAAGATGTAGATGTCATCCTCCGAAAAAACAGTGATCACAGAATGAAGGAAAAATCAGACATTCAACTTCTTGTTTACACTATTGATGACTTAATTGATAAGCTTTCAACTGTAGTTAACTAGAATCACATTTTTAGTTGGTATGAACTAACGGATCCAGAAAATTGGAAGAAGGATGAAAGACCCTGATACTTGGGTTTTTTCCTCTTACGTCTCTGTTTTGTAAATATCACATGAGTATTTATTTAACGCTGTATGATATAAGTGATACAAATTGTGATGAAAGTATAAGCTGCCGTCTGGAAAATTTTCTTCCTTCGATCCTTGATTTCTTTTAATTGAAGTAGAGTTGACACAGTGTTATAATAGTTTCAGGGATACACCATAGTGGTTAGACAACTCTATATGTTATGCTATGCTCACCGCAGATGTAGCTGCCACCTGTCACCATGCAGCACTGTTAGAGTGCCACCGACTGTTCCCTCTGCTGTGCCTTTCATCCCGTGATCCACTCATTCTGTACCTGGAAACCTGTGTCTCCCAGTCCCCTTCACCTATTTTTGCCCATCCCCCCACCCTCTCCCTTCTGACAACCACCAGTTTGTTCTCTGCATTTATGGGTCTGTTTCTGCTTTGTTGTTTGTTTTGCTTTTTAGGTTCCACGTGTAAGTGAAGTAATACTGTGTTGTCTTTCTCTTGTCTGACTTCACGTAACCTAGTACCCTCTAGGTCTGTCCATGTTGCGTGTTGATTTTTTTTATTGCTAAAAGATTTCCTACTTTTTTATTTGAGGTAATTTGTTTGCTAAATGCTTATGTTAAGCAGCACAGCTCTTAATTGTGTTCTCTTCTACTTAGAATTGTTAATAAAGCTTGAATTGTTTTGTCCTTTGTCGATCATATATGGAAATTTGTAAAATTGCTTCTGATTTTAAAATGCTATTCACAAAATACAGGACAATGTTTATTGAAGTAAATCTGAAATGATTGGAAAAAATTAGGTATGATAAAGTTCAAAACGTCAGAATATGACTATTAAATTCTACATGTTATATTTGAGTTTAAAATTACGGTTATCCTTTTTTTTGAAGCTTATGTATTTTGAGAGCGTGCATGTATGTAAGTGGGGGAAGGGCAGAGAGAGAGGGAGAGAGAGAATCCCAAGCAGGCTCGACACTATCAGCACAGAGTACAACTCGGCTTGATCTCGCAAACCGTGAGATCATGACCTGAGCCAAAATCAAGAGTTAGATGCTTAACCGACTGAGCCACCCAGGTGCACCAAGGTTCTCCTTTTTCAAAGGCTCAAAACTTCACAATGATACAAAGGAAGTCTATCACTTCTAAATTTTGACTTTATCTGTCATTTAAATGGGATTTGATCTTAGTAATGAAGTATTTGCATATTCTGAAGAGGCAGTTAATCCTTATATATTCTTGCCTACTTGCAGAAACATTTCCTTTTCTAATAAAATGTGCCTTAAGTACAAATGGCCAAGTGATTGCCATCTAAGGGCTTTCTGAAGTGCAGAGACAGTAAGAAAATATGAAATGCAATTTATAAAGGTGTTTTCAAGAACTAAAATGGACTTGTGCAGTAGTGAGCCTTAATATTATTGAGTTGGTGTCTTAGCTTTTAAGTTTGGCTGGATTTCCTTTAGCCTTAGGTTATGTCTGTCAAAGTGAAACTTACTAGGTTGATAACGTGACCCACATAGAGAAAATTGTTGGGATGAAATTCCTGAGGCTAAGAATTAGCCTCAGAGACGCCTGCTTACAAGGTGAGCCCTTGACCAGCATCTGAGAACTTGGCTTTTAGGAAGTTTCCGCCATTCCCAGAACTGGTAAACATGGCTCACTACACCTAAACTGTCGACATTGTATGAACAGTATGGTTTGTGCTGAAGTCCTTTCCTTTTGGGAGTCTGGAATTGTGGTAGGTGCCAGGCAGATACTGCCTAAGGGACCAGCTCCCAATACCTGGGCACTGAATGTCGTGAACTACCCAGTGGACGGCACTGCGTGTGCTGTCACAACTCGTGACCGAGGGAACGTCAGCTCATCTGGCAGGACCACTGGGAGAGAATTCTTGGAAGCTTGTGCCTCATTTCCCCAGACTTCACCCCATGTGCCTTTTTCCTTTACAGATTTTGCTTTGTATCCGAAGCATAGCTGTGAGGAGAATTATGTGCTGGGTCCTGTGAATCCTAACAAATCATCAAACCTATGGGTGGCCTTCAGGACCCCTGACACAGACACTAAACAGGTTAATGTCCTCGAGGACTACAATCTAGGAGTTACCTTTCATACTGAACAGAAATCATTTACCAATCAAATGCACGTGAATCCTGCATGTGCCACGGTGCCTGGTGCTAGAGTGAGTTGACAGCAGGCCATTCCGGGGCGGCCATTCCGGGGCGGCCATTCCGGGGCTTGTTCCGCCCAGATACTGCCTAGGCACAAGGATTCAAAAGACAAGAGAAAAGGGCCCTGCGCATGAGAGTTTTCTGAGGTTACACATCGTAATGTAATAAGCATGCTTAGAGATTTGCAGCACACCTGTAGAGGCAATATGCATAACGGTTAGGGACAGACTATACAGTGTGGGTTTAAATCCTGGCTCACCATTTACAAACACTGAAAGAGCAATTTACTTAACCTGGAAGTTTCCTCAGCTGCAAAACGACATAAAGTTAGATAATAAAAGCATAAGGATTAAATAATTACTGTACATTTAGAACAATGACACATACACATAGGAGTCACTGCCTCTTCACATTTATTGTGCACTGAACACAGGCCGGTGAGAAACTGGTGGACATAATTCATGCGGGTTAGAAAGGAAAAGAAGCAAGGAAGTGGGCGGGGCTTCCACAACATCTCACTCGCCTGTTAGTTGTGTGCTATCCTTTCAAACCTTCAAAGGTTAGAAAAGGGGAGGAGGAGGACCCTTCACTATCTGAAGAGAGGAAAAGCCAATTTTGAAATTTAACCTAGCTTTGCAGAAGGTAACATCACAAATTCCAAATGATTTTGTATCTAGTACATCATTAATTAATTAGTGGGTTTTTTTCCCCCAAAGCGCTCTCTCTCTTTTTTTCTCCAAAACCACTCTGTGCCATGTATCCAGGGACACAGAAAATGCTTGAACAACCAGCAGCCCCTCAATCCCTTGTCCCCTGGAACTACTGCATTATGCTAAAAGTGACATGACCCTTCTTAACAATGTCAGCATGTGCAGTAGAAAGAGATAAGGCAAACGCCATCGGTAAGGAAGGCTAAGTGAGGTCACAGAATACGTTTGCTTTTGCTGCATCTGTTGAGCTTAGAGACCTCTCCAGACCAAATCTAAACAGTATGCTGTTCCCTGAACAGCCAATAGAAAGTTCTGTGTGGAAGAGAGGAGGAAAAGAGCCTTGGGCATGGCTGAGCTTTAGAAAACATGGAGATGGCAAGGAGAACACGACTCTGCCACCGAACTATTCAGTGCCCAAAGGGAATATGCAAATTTTCATTAAATTTGAAACTGTTTTAAAAAAACAAAACCCAAATAACTAAGGAACTCTTATTTTCTGAAGGAAAGAAGATGGGAGGAATTTAGATACACCTTTTAAAGATCCCTTTTAAATACACATTTAAAAGTAATCTTTAATTTAGAAACATAATCATGTAGTATGGTTGGTTTGATTTAAAAAAACCTATGGGGCATCTGGGTGGCCCAGTCAGTTAGGTGACTGACTACAGCTTGGGTCATGATCTCACAGTTCGTGAGTTCAAGCCCCGCGTCAGGTTCTGTGCTGATAGCTCAGAGCCTGGAGCCTGCTTCGGATTCTGTGTCTCCCTCTCTCTCTGTCCCTCCCCTGCTCGTTCTCTGTCTCTCAAAAATAAATAAACATTAAAAAAAATTTTTTTAATGTGGCACTTTGGTACATCTAGAGAATATACCTAGGAAGAGGCAGGCAGTTTTTCTTTTTTAACCAAATGTGTCTTTTGAGGAAATTATCCTTCCAGACATGTGGGGTCTCCCTTTTCTTGGGCTTTCAGGGGTTTGCTAACAAAATTTCTTCTACTAAAAAAATTAAAAATAACAATACTAATAAAATAAAAGGCTCAAATCAAATGTCAGTTCCCCAGTGAAAGCCTTTCCCAACTTATATCCACCTCAGTTTCTAAGAAGTTAGTTCATTCTGTGCATTCTATTCTCACCTTTTTTTGCTTTACGTTCATTTATTTATTTTGAGAGACGCAGAGAGAGAACATGAGCAGGGGAGGGACAGAGAGAGAGGGAGAGAGAGAGAATCCCAATCTTGACATGAGACTTGAACTCCCTACGCAGGGCTCAAACTCCTGAACCGTGAGATCATGACCTGAGCTGAAATCCAGAGTCAGACGCTTAACCTGAACAGGCGCCCCTCTTCTCACCTTTCTGATAGAACGTAACTGTTTTGAGATTCTCACATATATGCCAGCCTCCCTCTCTCACAGGACCACTGAGGTCAGGAGCTCTGTGCTGACATTGCCTACCCCCAGGCGGCTCTGACTCTGCTGTGTCCCCTCATTTGCTGGCTCCTCCTCACCCACTGCTTCAGCGTGAGCATTCCCATGAGTTCTAACCCTGGCCCTCTTCTCCTGCTACTTAGCTTAAGCACCCCTGCTCCTGGTTTTAACCCCTCTCGTATGCAGTGATTCAAGTCCATTCCTCCACTCCAGACTTTTGTCTTGAGCCCCAGACCCATAAAACCAACTATCTAATGAGCTAGGATGGATGGTAGCCTCCAGATGCAGTTAGGATGAACCTTGTCATCCTCCCCCTATATGGACCTCCCCACATGCAAGTCCCCTTACAATAACGGCACCACATCACCTGTTATACAGGTCAAATTTGTGAGTCATACTGACCACCCCCTTTTCCTTCATCCAAATCAATCAGATGATTCTCGTTCTCAGTGAAAAAATTCAAACTGTTTTGCATAAGTCCAGTGGCAGGCAAGACTGGTAAATATTTAACAACTAGCTTTCCAGGCAAAGAAAACAAAACAAGAACACGCTGATTTACAAATTTGCCAACATCCATGCCATAAATGCTCCCGTTACGGCCGGTTTGAAGCTACCACTGTGATGTCACTAAATCCACCGAAGCTGGGAAGCGTGGCCAGTTGCAAACCATTACATAGTATATACACCATATAGAGACAATAAACCTAATAATATTCTCAAAAAACACAGGCAATAGTAATACGTAGCAATATAAAATAAAAGCGATCTGTTCTGAGTATTCAATATTTGTAAATTACTTAAGTATAAACTTACATAATTCAATTGCTTATAATGGCTGAGTGACAAGTGGCTCTCAACAATCCTGAAAATGTAACCATGGGCACTTGCAATCAGACAACTTTATGGTCTAGAGCTTGTCTGACATCCAAGCCTTACTTTTCTTCCTGTGCGTCTCTTCTCTTTAATCCTATGCTTTGTTGACATTAGAACATTTGCGCCTGCCTAAATAAGCTGCCTTTGCCAGCCATGTTCCTGACGCTCACAACCCCTCTTGCTGCAACCCATCCACCTGACAACACCTCTCCCCCTTCACCTGGCAAACACCCATTCATCTTTTGAGGCTTAAAGTCATCTCCTTTATAAACCCTTTTCCCAATCCCCTACCCCCTTCCTCTGAGCACCTTGTGCACGTTGTTAGCATGACACCTGGCTCGCATTTATTGTTCACCAGTTTAACTTTGCTACTAGACCATGTTGCCATGTCTCATGCATTTTTTTGGTACTCAGATACATAGGCCCTTTAAAAAAGTTGTTGAAAAAATTAACTATAATACTAGCAGACACTCAGTAAATGTCGAGTTGATCCTGTATCTCCCAGGGACCAAGCATTGTTTTCTCAGACAACTTCCTGTGGATTGCTGGACACTTCTTACCTACTCCTTGTTGTGGCTCCCGCTCTTGGCCACTGTATCCTCTTCAGAACCATGAGCTCAATCATTCACTTAAAGTGTCGCAGTTACTTTCTTACAGTGGAAGGGAATGGGTACAAAAGATCTGTGAAAGAAAGAAGAGAGAAAGAAAGAAGAGAAGGATAGAAGAGAAAGAGAAAGAAAGAAAGAAAGAAGAAAGAAAGAAAGAAAGAAAGAAAGAAAGAAAGAAAGAGAAGAGAAAGAAAGAAGAGAAAAAAGGATAGAAGAGAAAGAAAGAAAAGAGAAAGGAAAGAAAGAAAGAAAGAAGAAAGAAGAGAAAAAAGAAAAAGGAAGGTAAATGTACATGTACATCTTTCAGAATTGTTTTTAGCTTTATATAACAAGCCAGCCTCTTCCTTAGAGCAATTCCAGCCACAGAGAAAGTAACATGTCTTTTGTTTGGACCTCATTGACCTTACTGCTGCCACCCAAGATGCAACCCAGTAACTTCCAATATTCTGCTGACAATTTCCCTGCTCTAAGCTCTTCCCCTAAGCCCCAAGTCTCCAGAGACAGTTCTGCCGTCTTTAGAGCTTCTTCAACCGATGATTCCATTCAGCATTAGTCAGTCCTTTCTGTGCCTTTTTCTAAATCCACTGCTCTCCTCAAAGCTGATTCTCTCCCAGACCTTTATGTTTCAAAATTCTCTCTCCAGGCCTTCAGCTACTGACCACAAAGTCTTTTTCTCAGGCATACTGCCCACATGTCTACAAAGTGATTACATTTTCACTAGTCCAGGCCCCAGTGGGTAGGAGATTCCTCTCCATACCTGTATTATTTGAGATGTCATTCCCTGCCTAGCTTTCAACCAATTTTGCGCAGGGACAAAGATTACCTTCCTGTGCACCAGAATTGCTTTATCTAATGTGCCCAAGTCAACTGGTTCCAGGGGCAAGAATTCGATTTGATTCTTCTCCAGCACAATACTTGGCATAGTTAAGCGCTCAAATCATATTTGCTGCATGAACCAAAAGAACAGATGTTTGAGTGTTTTTCTCATGAAAAGGACCCAGAGCCTCCCACAACACCAATGAGACTTTACCCCCAAGTCACTTACAGTCTAGGAAGACAGATTGCCAAGTTCTTGAGCAGTTATAAAAATTTCAGGCCAACTTAGATCTAAGTTGATTACTCCTCCGGTCTTGTTTGACCAATCAGTTACCACAGTGGGGCCTGACAGGTCCTTGACTAAAACACACAGATGAAATGGTTACATGCTACCAAAACCTTTCACTCCACAAGCTCTTAGTACATTGACAGTGAGCTTTGTTTCTTTATAGAACATGCTCTTAGTATCTTTCTATTAAAAATAGCACTTAAAAGGTTCATTCTTTGGATAAGTCAAACTGAGGCACAACAGTTACGGCCAGGATGGAAGTTTCCAGCTGAAATCTGGCTGGCAGCTGAACAAGTTAATGGCTGCAGCTCTCAGCCCCTCCCCTCTTGTCCAGCCAGACAACTGTTACCCCAGGGCAGAGGGAAAGTGGTCTGGCAACTCCTGACAGATGGACAGCTGACAGAATGGACCCTCCCCTAGGCCCCAGGCCTTGTGCAGCTGTGCTCCGGCCTTGTATACAATCGGCTGTCTCCCCCAGAGGAGGGGAAAGAATTGTGCAGCCAGAAAGAAGCTCTCAGCGGGAGGGAGGTGGGCGGGATTGACTGACATACGAGAGGGCTGGCTTTTTGGAGGGCTCTTAGCAACGGCCCCGGTTTGACCCTCCTCAGCTAGAAGAAAATCGAATCAGTGTACCATTCTTCCAGGCGCCATGCAGCATCAGCAACTGAACGTCAAGGCGGCCTTCCTTCCTTCCTGTTAATTACCTGCTCTCTCCCATTTCAGGATCCCCGTCTCTGCAAAGTGCTTCTGGAGAGGGGACGCCACGACCACCACCCAGCCCCCTTGCTGCCTGGGGTTTCAGCCTTGATTGTGAGTCCTTGTACATCACCTCATCTCATCCCATCGATAGGCGGGACCGAGAGGGGCGTTCCAGCCCCCCTGGACCAGCAGGGGCTTTATTCTAGAGTCACTGGCGCGTGGCTGCGCTTTCCCTTCGCGTTGGTAGGTGAAACCCCAGTGGCTTCATTGGCTCCTTGATTTAAACCACGCCCGGCTTTCTGCCCGCTTTGCTGCTGCTGGGCCAGGCCGCCCAGCCACGTCCCAGCCCCCGTTCGCAGGGAGCCGGGCCGCTGCTGCTATTGTGTGGATGCCGCGCGTGTCCTCTCTTCTCTTCCAGAGATGGCTAACAGGGGCCCGAGCTATGGCTTAAGCCGAGAGGTGCAGGAGAAGATCGAGCAGAAGTACGATGCGGACCTGGAGAACAAGCTGGTGGACTGGATCATCCTTCAGTGCGCCGAGGACATAGAGCACCCGCCCCCCGGCAGGGCCCATTTTCAGAAATGGTTAATGGACGGGACGGTAAGGCCGGCGGCGATCTTGGTGGCCAGGGCAGTGGGTTGGGAACCCCTCCTGGACTTTCTCTTCTAACAGGAGGCTGCAGGTGGAGCTGCGGCTGCCAAACTCTGTGTCTCGCGGGGTGGGAATGGAAATGCCTTTATTTCTTCGGGGTGGAAGGTCTGCGCTCCCCGCACAATTCCCTTCCTAGCTTAAGGACTCTCCACCCACCTGAGACATGGCAGCTTCCCTGGGAGTTGTTGCCAAATTAAAAGCCCTTTTTGCTTTCTCCAGTGGGAATAATCAGATAAGGATTTCCCTTAGATTTCTCCAGACTTTTGGTCCATCAGCGCGTGGGGGGGGGGGGGGAATAATTATTCCTCCCCCCTGGGGAATGGGTTAGTTACAAAGTACAACAAAAGAAAGGGTCAGAGAGACTAACCACCTTCCCATCCTTCCCCAAGCCATGCTGCCTGGGGTGCTGGATGTCTTGAATGCATGGGTTCTCAAGAAACCGAAGGGAATCCTTACTTGGTAACTGCTTTTCTGACCAGATGCTCTTGTGCGTTTGGGGGTTGGAGACTGCTGATTCGAACAAGCCCATCTTTTCCCCGCAGGCTGTGATTTACTGTTACATAACAGCTATCCTACGTTTCTGTTGGGTCGCCCAGGACTTGGGTTACAAGCATCTAGGAGGAGGGTACCCGGTTCAGCTCTTCTATACCTCATTGGCACATATGGGTTGAGTTATTGAAGGCTGATTCTGATCTGCCCTTTGAGAGAAGAAATAATATTCGATTGTATTATTTGACCTCTCCTCCTTCCATTGAAAGTCTGGAAATCACGGGCTCATCACCACACATTGTTCCCTATTTGTAAACATTCTTTCCCTCCCCCAGAGAAAGGAAGGGAGGAGCCAGCAGGGAAGGGGGTTCCCAGGATGCAGGACCCACTGTAGCCAGGAGCAGCCCTGGGAGTGAGGCCACCTGGGTCTCTGGGGTTTGGCCTGGGAACCTGGCCACCCAGCCCGGAGCCGTGCCTTCCTGGGGCGCAAGACTTGCCTCTGCCCAAACCCGGAAACTGTGCGCTATAGGCCTAGGACTCACTTTGCATTAATGATGGATAAATACAAAGGGAAACACTGATTTTGTCTCCCCTTTCTCTCTTCAGGTCCTGTGCAAGCTGATAAACAGTTTATACCCACCGGGACAGGAGCCCATTCCCAAGATCTCAGAATCAAAGATGGCTTTTAAGCAGATGGAGCAAATCTCCCAGTTCCTAAAAGCTGCAGAAATCTACGGTGTCAGGACCACTGACATTTTTCAGACGGTGGATCTATGGGAAGGTAAACAGCCCTCATGCCTTTGGGGTTATTCCCCCTCCCCCTCCACTTTGGCCATCTCTTTGGGAAACCTGTTCACAGTGTTCTTCCTTATGCCTGTGTGTGCCCCTGTGGGGGTGGAGGGTGGGGGTGGAATGGGGGTTATCCGCTGTGACCCCGGGGCACTGTTAGCTTACCGCTTTGTGATATTCTATTGACAAGGCTACCCTCCTCTGAGGGAAGGCGCACCCTGGGGACATGGCAGGGGACCTCAGCAAACCAGCACGTAAACAGAAGCCTCCATGGAGAGAAAGCTAAAATGGTTACATGGATGCCTTTCATTCCTGTTACCCCTCCCACAACGCGTACTCTTTCTGAACAAATGGTAGCTACTGGAAGAGAAGGGGGGGGGTTGGTGAGCGTGCTTCTGACTCACCGGCAGCAACAGGGCTCGTAGACAAAGCCGCCTGGTGCGGTCTGTCATTCAGTCTGAGAAATCAAGAACACCCCAACCTTTTACGAAACTATTATCTGAGGGCTTGGTGACTATCCCTTCCAGATATATATTCTGCTCAGAAAGTGTGAAACGTGATTTTTTTTTTTCTTTCACATTTGTGAATTGACTTGTGAGGCATAAGTCTTATGAGGCATAAAAGTCAAATCACATTTCTGGACGTATTTGACAGTCCACCATTACTGGGGGAAATGGTGTGAATGGAGACACGGCCCAAGAAGTTGGGACCTGTGGTCATAGTGCTTAGTGTTCCCCTGGGCCCGAATGTGTGTGCCCATCCATGCAACGGTTCCACGCCAGGCTGGCCAGGCACTGGAGCTATGGAACAGTTCAAGCAGGCCTTCCAGGTAGGCTCTGCTCGCTCATGCTCAGTCCCTAGCTGTTATCAGTGGTGCGCCCAATAGGATGCCCAGGGCAGTGACCCAAATGGCCCCCCTGATAGTGAGGAGGGGGTAAGTTTCCTGTGATCGGGAGACATGGTATTTCAAGAGGTATTTAGATGATGGATGAAACAGATTTCTAGCAGAGGACCATCCTACTAAACAACTTCTAAAGAAACAATTGCCTCCTTAACCCTTACACCCCCTTCTGTGTCAGGCAGAGAGCTGGTATTTCCTGTTTCTCTCACACGTGAGTTGTTAAAATCCCAAGACACCCATCACGTAACCTGTGTTTTGCCATTACTGAGAAAGTCAGATATCCAGACCTTCAGGCCAGGCCATTGGACTTCTTGGCTACTCACTTCCAAATCTCATGAATGTCACAGTTGAGACTTGGTTTCTGCTCTTTAGACCAAAACGGTGATGATTTTCCCAGCTAATAAAGAGAGCCCCTGCCTATTGATATCTCCCCGTACCGTAGGCGTGGAACAAGTACTTTACTGTGTAATGCCAATTAATTCTCCTCCAGTTCTATGAGGTGTTATTAATTTTCCCATTTCAAAGAGGATGAAGCTGAAGCTTGTCCATGAGTACTTGTACGCATCGTATGGCCTGTAATTAGCAGAGCCAGGGCTCAAACTCGAACTCTCTGAGGCCAGAAAATAGGGCCTCAACTAGTCTGCCCTGTCATGCTTTGACCAGGAGGCTGTTTCCTGTACCTGCACCATGAGTGTGCTGGTGAGTCATAACAGGAGGATGAAGAAGAGAAGGAGGAGGAGGAGTCAGTACTGTGTGGGACAGAAGGGTGGAGCCCCTGTATTAGGAGTTCATGTGAATAGAAGGGTGAGCCCCCCCACCAAGCGCAGGAAGTATGTAGGAAGAGAAGGAAACTGGAAGTCTGTGGGAGATGTGGACCCCGAGCTTGCTTCTCTGTCTTTACGCGACTGACGATGTTTTACTTGCCTTTCCACTTTTATCAGAGATCACGCAGGTAAACTTTACATCCCGGAGGTGCTGGCAGTGATGAGGAGGGGTGTAGGGAGTCCCTGATTAACAGAGCAGGGGGAGGTCTACACCACCTATCCCAGCCCTGTGTGTTCATACTTCTTAAGGGAGAGGGAGGTCAAGAAGCATGAATGAGACTGTGGTCACCTAAGGTAGGGTCGTGGACAGGTGGGCTCCAAGCCAGGTTAATACTCCTAGAAAAAGGAAGCCAGGCAGACACGGAGCCAGGGCGAAAAGGATGAAGCTTTAAAGGAAAAAAGGAAGGGGATTCACTCCAAGGGTGGCTGACCGAGTATAGGTAACCATGACTGACACTAACAAAGCAGATGCCTGGGAGTGTCCACGGCCTCCCGTGGGCCCCTTCATGGGAGGACCGAGGTTCTGGAAGAGTCATTCTAAGGGAGGGGGCCTCTGGATCACTGACCGAGGCTTAAGCCAGAGCTGGTTACCATACGATGGAGCAAGAGGTAGGAAAGTGGGTTGCTTTGGGCAGAGAAGGGAGGGGCGGGCTTGGCCTTGAGCAAGGCCAGGGTGAGACCCAGGGTACTGAGTGAGAGAGGCTGGGCGCTTCCTGCCAGAGCCAGTTGTCGCTCGTGTCTGGGGATGAGCAAGCCTGAATCAAAGGGATGCTGCAAGGCAGGGTTGGCATGTGTCAGCGTGAGGGTGCCCGTGTCTACTCACACAGCTATCAAGCTGGCCGTTTGCTTAGCTTCATGCCGCATCCCCCCCTACTGCTCCGACGGTGGTTTTCCGTTTATTCCCATTCCCTCCTGATGCCACGAACTGGGGGTGTTGTGGCTGTGGCTGCTGCGGGTCCAGCCCTTCTCGCTTGGGCACTTCTCTTCCTCCTCTGCAGGCACTTTATGCTCAACAGCTCTCTGCCCCCTGCCCCCCATCTCCCCCGCTTGGCATCTTCCCAATAGGGTTCTGCTTGCCCACGGCTGCCCAGTGACTCCATGTTGCTCTGAGGTTGCAGACAAATGAAGCTGCAGGAGGCCAGGCTTGCAAGACGCCCTCCCATTTAGGCTTCAGTTAGACAGGCAGGGGCCCCAAATGGACCCATTATCCTGAAACCCCTGTTCGATGCACAGTGAGATGTTTGGAATGGACTTAGGAGCAACCAGAATAAAAGTTCCTGGGCTTTAAAAAGGAACCTGGGGCTGAACAACGGCCCAGAAAACAACCCAACCAAAGGATATTAGAGACAGAGCTACTGAAGTTCCTCTGGGAGGAAGCTGGGCGTGAGCAATCCCTTTCAGGGCTGGGGAGGAAGCTGGGGCCACTTAGGGCCCTGGGAGAGGACTAAAGAAGTCTTTCTCTTGCATGAGGGCAGGTGGATGCTGGCAGGTTCCTTCTGGATTTGTGGAGGGTGCCGGGAGGGGGTGGGAGTGGGGCTGTCTCAGCTGCCTATGACTCAGGAGAGCATACTGGAGCTTAGACGTCAGTGTCTTTTCTGTGGAGGGAAAGTGAGAAGGAGATGAGGGAGGAGCAGGAAAAGGAAGTATGTGTGTTTGTGTGTGAGAGAGACAGAGAATGAGAGAGAACACGGGAGAACTAGGGGGTGTGCTGGTCAGAAAGACTCAAAGAAAACTTACCCTGGAAGGCGGTACAGCACAGATTTCTAAGACCGCCTGGTTCACATCTCTGGTCCACCACTTATCAATTAACTTTTCTAAGCTTTGATTTTCTCAGCTATTTCACAGGGTTGACATGGGGATTAAAGGGGATGATGCATTAGAAGTTGCTTAGCAAAGTGTCTGGCAACCGTAGAGCATAATATACGGTGGCAAGGTAAACGTTACTACAGTCATTGCCCTGTCCCTTTTTAGGACAAATTGAAAATGAGGGTGGCGGGAGCAAGGCTGGAAAGGCACATATTCTGCCTTGGAACAGATGGACTTCATTAATGGCTTCATACAGAAGCCGGTAGTGTTGCCTGGATGGCATTGGCCCTCTGTCTGTCGTGTGGTGCCTTCACTGCATCGGCCGTCCTCCAGTATGGAGGGGCCGGCTTCACGGGTCACCTTCTGACTTTTTTCTATCCTGTCGTCATTACCCTCTTGACATCTTTCCCCAGAATATATTGCTTTGCCAATTCCAGACCCAGAAGATCTTGGTACAGTGAAAAGAGCATGAGTTTGGAGTGAGATAGATGGGTTGGAGCTCTTTAGCTACATGCCAACTTTGTGAACTTGTTTCAGTGCTCAGCTACTCAGAGCCTCAGTTTCCTTCTCTGTAAATAAGTCTAGCACCTTCCTCGGAAGGTTCTTGTAAGGATTAAATGTGTAAAATGCCTGTGACCGTGCCTGGCTAATAGACACCTAATAAATGTTGGCTTCTTTCCCCCTATACTATAAGTCCATCAGCAACTACCTTTTGGTTTCTTTCAGCCACATGGTGAACAAGCATTAGACATGTAGAATTCTAGAATGTCAGAGCAGGCAAGACTCAAAGATCAATCCAATCTGATTACTTTTCTCAGGAGTCCTACTGACAAGGATCCTGGCCACATGGTTTTGCCCTGCCCCCCTGTTCCCTCTCCTTGATGACTAGGAGTCGAGGAAGAGTGTGGTTTATATTGGGGGGGGGGGGGCGGGGAGTACCTGGCAGTCCAAATATATTCTCTGGGGAGGTGGCTCTATATGTGTCATTCGGTAACAGCAAAAACAAGGAAACATTTCACCCAACTCGAGAGACACTTGGGGGTCTTGTGAGGTACCTGTAGTGACTTGAGTCATCATAACGTGCCTGCTGCTTGCCGTCTCCTTTTCCGTCAGAACAGCCTCCGCCGCTCGTGACTTTGTTTGGCGGGTTTTTCCTTCAGCCGTGGTTCTCAACCTCGAGCCTGGTAGGTTTATGAAAACACAGCCCCAGTGTTTCTGAGGTACTAAATCTGGGGTGGGGCCCAGAAATTTGCATTGCTTACCAATTCATAGGTGATGCTGCTTCTGCTGGTCTGGGAACCTGGCTTTGAGAACCAACAGAGTGTCTGCAGAAAGGCAAGCGACAAAAATTTGTGAAACTCACAGAGCAAGCCCAGCCTACTGTCTGACATTTCTCCTTTGACCGTAGCAATATTTTCTCAATCTTGAGGAGAGAATTGGGGGCTGTGCCTAAGTTATTAC